TGGATGGTGTAGGATAGCCTCTGTTGAAGTAGAGATTCTTGGAGTTCACTTGAGTTAACAAAATTAATTAAGCATTTAAATTTTAGCTTGTAAAATTATGTGTTGAATTTTAACCTTTTACTTAAGAAACCTCTGCCATGGTACAAAAGGGCATAAGAAAATGCAAATTTCTGAAGCTTCTTACATAAAGAACAATACCAGAGGGGGACCGAGGATGCAAAGAACACAGATAAAGGGGCTCCTCTATCTCCAAGCCCATCCAGACTGACCGACGTACTCAGAGAAGCACCAAAAGTCCAGAAGTGCGTGTGCAAAGGAGAAAGGTTCAAAAGTTCAGTCATGAAGAAGACCACAATCTTCAGCCTCAAGAGACCACCAGAGACCCCCGCAGGACCACCACAGCAAACCACGCATGCCCAGAAGGGTGTGGACCTATTTAGCATGAGAGGCGAGTACAGGCATGGCCAGGGGTTGAATATGCATAGCAAAGTTGTGTAATGTACTGCATATGGAACACCTTTGTGAATGAAAGTATGGGTCAGACTGAGACTCAGGGCACAAGTTTTTGGAGAGATATCTCACTTGTGCCAGGCACTGACAATACATACCCACTTCATAACTACCCCAGCTTATGGAGTCTATTTATGTATTTCACATATCACTTCACTGTGTCCTAGCCATGACTCCCCTCACTACTGCAAAAATTTACCCTATCCTGGCCACAAGGAAATTAGGTAATTGACTATTTTTCTTATAATCTCTAAAATCAATGTAAGCTTGAAAGAAGGCATGTAAAAAAAGAAAATTAACTGTAGGGTTTTTGTTTATTTTGTTCTTTTTTTTCCAGACATAGCCTTTTAAGAAGGCCTATGACACTAGGGCCTTGTTGGAGTAGGGTGTGTGTCCTTTTTGAAATTGCTTCAGTGATGGACTTCAGCTGTCTTTGTATTGGAGTTTAAATGCTTTGCAGGACCACAACTTGCAGGCATAAACAGGGCTGGAATGGACATTTAGAGTAATTGCAATTCTGTCTGGGATCAGACAGAAGATGCGCAGCAAAGGGGAAGGACACTTGCCTTATAACGTATGCAATGTTTATTTCCATAAAGGCTTTGAAAAACTTTGAGGGCAAATTGAGTGGGAAGGAGGACACTTTTTCTGTCTGTACCTGTAACATAATTAGAGGATCTGTAATCAATAGAGCATGTAGTTCATGTGACAGATTATTCTGTGGGCAGATCCTCTGCTGCAGGAGCACATGTGGGCTAATAGAATAACTCTGGCAACTGCCCACAGGTTCCTTCTGGAAATTTTCTTCACAAGGACTGATTTCAGATTTTTTTTTCTTTTTTCCTACTCATGGTTCTAGCACAGCAGTTCCTGTAGGCTAGGAAAACTAGGAAAGATGGGGCAGAATATCTGAAGAAGGTTGTGAACCTGAGTTCAGAAAGGCTGGTGAGAATCCCGTGCAGTGGCACTAGCCTGTTGAGAGCTTGTTGCACATTTGTAGTTCTTGTTAGTTTTGTAAATCTGTTCAAGAAGAAGAGTTGGTATTGCATAGGTGCTGGGTGAATGAGAAGGAATTTGTTTTCAGTTCAGGAGTGTTCAGCAATTACAACTGGAAGAGCTCTCAGTAGGAAGGAGTTTGTATTAGTCTTAGGAGCTAATGAGAGTATTTCATTCAGTTGGAAATGTGCTTTCAATGGGCAATGTTTATGGATGCCTGTTCTTTGCAGCATATTTTAGCAATATGACTGCTAGCTTTATCTTTAAAAGGCACGTGGAAAATCAAATGGAGTATGAGTTTCAGGTTAGCATTCCTGTTGTTGAAAAATGGTCATTATTTGTTTTACAACATCACAAAGGTACCTTCTTCCTGACAGCTCTGTGGGTCTCCTTGCTTTTCAGAATTTAAGGCTGCCATGTGTGCTTTACAAAATGTGCTTTACACATTTTGTGCAGTAAATATTTATTTTTCTCTTAGAACATTTGTCATGAATCTCAAAATTTAATATTGTTATTTCAGATAATTTTAGGCATTAAATATTTAAGTAGTATTAAGTGTTGGTACAAAAAGCAGTGTTACAAAATTTACTTTCAAATTTTTAGAATCCTATAAGAGGGTTATTTAATAGTTTCATACAGTTAGTAAAAATACATGTAAGTTCAGCAATTGATTTTTAAATTATTTTTTCCCTTAAAGGAAAGCTGTGAGTTCTCTTGTATGGGGTAAATTTCAGTCTGTTTATATCTTAGCTTTGCTGCAAGTCAGGACTTGTACTATTCCTCTAGGTTGTCATAGAAACACACCTAACTGACATCTCAACTCAAGCTGCTCATGGTTTAATTTGTGGTTTTCAAGATTATTAAAATTTAACAAAAATTATTGATTTGCTTTTATTAACACTGGTTTGTGTTTACTTTAGAAGTTCAAACTGCATAAAAGCTTTTCCTGATAGAAAAATGCCTTTAAAATTATTAAACCCTCATACTCTAAATAAGAGATCATCAAATGCATTTAATATATCAGAGTCTGAAGCAGTAATCTTGAATTTTTGAAAATCACCTTTTTATTTCATTTTGTTTACAGTAAAGTGCCTCAACCTCATTTCAATTCACCTTTTAGCTTGACTTTTATTTAACAGAGAAGATACCTGTCAAGAAAGCGTGAAATAGGTACATCATCATGCCTAATATTTGGGAGTTTTCATTTTATTTACTTACTTTGAAGCCTGGCAGAACGCTTTGGTGCACTGACTTTTGAAAGTATATATTTTTTGTATATGCATGTGCAGAAAAAATTACTTCGTTTTCACTCATAAATAAGACAGGCAAAACTTATTTACAGTAACTTTATCTAATGGTCCATGGATGAATGATTTTATGCAAACTACTCCAGAGACTAGAATTAACTTTTCATGTTGGTTGCACATTGGATGTCCTGGCCCCAGCAACATGTGGGATCTTATAAAGACTAGATGACTGGAGTTCAGTTTTTACTTTTATGAATTTATTCAATGATTGCCCATGCATTTCAAGTGTAATCTTTGTAAGCAATGTATAAAATGCAGTAATGTATTAATTGTTATAAAATGGACACGTACTTCCTTACACTCTCCTTCCATCAAATGTATGCTTTTTACTTTGACTTTACCTCCTCCCTCTACCTTGTAGCCATTTATTAACGATCTGTAAGCATGAGGAATTTGACTGATTTATATACAGACCTGTAATTTGACATTGTCATTCTGTCTGGTAACAACTTTGTTCAGTGGTAGATTTACTGAATAAAATTGTTTCTTAGTGGACATTTTGACATCCTGCTTCATACTCCTACGTCATGCACTGCTGACATCCCTGTATTAATCTCATTTGTATTCTGTCATAAAACTCTCATGTAACATTTTAAAACAGACTCTCTTTGCAGCATATTTCTATAAGCATAGGACTAAATATTGGGTGTTTCCACAGGTTTATATGGCTTTTTTGTGTTTTGTATGAGGTTATGTACATGTTACCATATATGATGGTAACACACATAGTAAATGGCCGTACTATTTAACTTGGGAAAGGCTGGCTTTAGTACTGCAAAAACAATTTAAACAAAATGCATTTTATTAACCTGTTAACATGTCTCTCTTCCACATTTAGTTTTTGCATCATGTCTACAAGAAAGTGTTGCACTAATACAGTTCTGCTGTAGGCTGACACTGTGCATTTTTAGGTCATTGGAAGGCAGTGGTTGGTGGGAAGTCAGGGCACTCCTTGAGCAGTGCACTGGTACATTCTGGTTGCTTAAGAATGAAACATATGTTTTATGTGGGAAACATACTCAGTGTTGATATATTCATTACAGTCAATAGCAAGTGTAGGAGAATATTATTGCAGGTATACTGTTTCCCAGTGAGGGCCAAGGGATATAGAAGTGTTCGTGTATGTCTGTGCATGTATGTATAAGATTAAGTGAGACTTACTGAAGTCTGTGGAATCTCTCTGGCATTGTACTTCTGTACACCATCTGTTACAGATAGATGCCTATGACCAAAGAGCTATTTTGCAACTAGGATTTTCTCTTCCTAAGAGATAAGCATATTGGGTCTTCTTTGAGCAATAAATTTACTGCTTGGTGTTTTGTTTTGTTTTTAGCTTGGCTTCCTTTCTCTTCACTCTTTGCCCCATGATCTTTCCTTGCATTTAGTAGTAGTGATTGGGTGATAATACCTAACATGCTTGAGAAGAGAGGAACGCTTCAGTATTTACCAGAATAAGATCCTAACATGCAGTAGATAAAGGTGATTCATAGGAATGTAATGTGCCCAGATTCTCTTCCCAGAAAACATACTTATAGTATTTTTTTTTTTTACCATAAGCCCACTGATGGATTTTATACAATTAACTTATTCCTAGTGGATTCTTCTTACTTTTGTTCACAGCATTTTGCCTCTATGCTTCCTACAGAGGTGCAGCATCTCGTAAAGGTCATGAAGTTTCTTGTAATGTGCATGCTTCAGCTTTCAGTTCATTGTGGCTACACTGGCACACTTTATTTTATCATTCATTATATATGATTAATATATGTTATATATATGATTCATTATCATATCCATCCTTTTTGTATTTTACTTTTAAATTGCAAATGACTAACTTTAGGTAACAAAGTACATGTGCACATTTTTTCCTGCTTTTTAGATATCAAGTAAGTGCCTCCTACAGCTAAACTGACATGCTGCTATACAGACTTTGCACTCAGAATTTTGGAGTAAAAAGAAAAAACAGTAACAGAAAAGCACAGCCCAAACCCCTTCAGATGATTAAATGGTGAAAGTTTGGCTTTTGATTGTAATGGCTGCTGTGAAGAGATCGCAGTGATCCATCTTCACCTGTTGCTGTGTGATAGTTTTGGGATATCTTTTAATTTGTTTTTATCTAAAATGAACTTCTAAGTATTTTTGTTGTTTTTTCTCTCTTGCTTCCTTTTCCTTACACTCCTAAAAATTTAGGAAGATGAGAGTGAAGAAGAACCTAAGCTCAAGTATGAACGGCTTTCTAATGGAGTGACTGAAATTCTCCAGAAGGATGCAGCCAGCTGCATGACAGTGCATGAAAAGGTATTATATGGCTTTGTGACTGAGATAGCACTTCTTCTCGGTTTTATATATTTATCTGTGCTTATAATACATCAGTATATTTCTGTGTAAAAGTGATACCAAATCTAGAGTTGCACTGCAGGGCAACAAACAGCAATGTAAACAAAATTCACCATTAAACTATATTGAGAAATCCACATTTTCTCAATTATAAAACCAGTAGTTCACATGGTTCAATTAACAGCAGTCTCTCAGAATCAATTTCCTTCTTGTTCGTATCAAGCATTTTTTTCAGTGGGAAACACATTTTCTCAATGAGGAAATGAGGTGAGAATTCAAGATGCAGTGATTTGTTAGATGTTTACATATGCTAATAGAAAAATGTTTACTCAGATTAAATTATCAACAGTATTAAGAACTGCAATTAGAATACAGTCCTAAGTTTTATTTATTCAGAAAGGAAGTTGGTATATACTGTGCTTATTTGTACAACCGTGTCAGTGAAGACCAATTTGATCATGCCAGGAGCTTAGCATATATTTGGCTGTGGAAGACATGTTAATACAGTATAGAAGAAAGTAATGAATGTATTTTTTGTTTGCTTAGGCTTTACTTTTGGGGGGTGTCATACTAACACTTCCTGTCCCCCTTCCCTTATTCAGCATGTTAAAAACAGAGAGGAACTGCACATGCCAGAGATTTTGATGTACCGGAGGGACGATAAGAATAAAGTAATAGACAATGCAAAGTAAACAAATTTTTAAAATAATTAATATTTTGTTCTTAAAAGGGATAAACTTCATATGCTTCCTTAGTGACTTAAACAATTGCTTTTGTATTTTATGAGTTTTCTGCTCTTTTATACATACTGAAAAACATTTTAGAATATTGAGGCATTCTGAAGTGCATCTAAAAGTGTGAGTTAACAATTTGTCAACTACTAATATGTAAAACACAGTAGCTACTTTCTGAATGTATAATTTTTCATAGCCAGTAATATCTCCTTAACAGTTATTGTTGAGGGATCTATCTTTATTATTTGACTATATTTTTAGATTGACTTGTGCTGTGTTTCTTTTCCTCTGAGGACTGTTGCTATGGCTCAAGAGGCTCTTAAGATGAAGCTTGTATTCTAACTGTGTGAATGAAAACAATAAGTCTTTTTAAAACGTTTTTGACAACATAGAATTACACAGATATTTGGAAAATTGGCAAGCATTTCCTCTTTGTCTGTGGCCTGTTTCTGTTACCTTTTATTCCTGCATCTCAGGTAAATTTTAAAAGCCAAGAGTTTAACAGGATTTTTCTATAAGGATGTGCATAGATACAGCTTTTGCTATAGTGTCACAAAGCATGACAATACAGGAAAACTGTTGAAGTATCCCAGCACTTTCAGTTTTCCAGCAAACTAGATACACTACTTATGAGAAGAATCAATATTGTTAGAAGCCAGGTACTGCAGTCTTTTAGGAATAGGTCTCTTGCAACAGAGAAAGAAGCTGGGTTATAGGTTTTGCAATGGTATTTCTGTTACATTCTGGTTGGTTTTTTGGGGATTATTTCCCCCGAACAAACAGGAAAAGCCCTGCTAAATGCTATCATTAGAAAAATTATACAGTAATATGTAAAATACGACTCTGACTAAAGCAGTTTAACTTTGATGGGAATCCTGAGATCTGGCTTCTGCATTCAGAGTAATTTCCCCCCAGATTTTTTTTTTTTCATTTTTGCTGCTAAAGCATCATATTTTCACCAGGCTTCCTGTCTGCACTGGATGACTAATCGTCATGGCACCTGGTGCATTCAAGCAGGCCTGTGCAGTGGAATAGTCATACCTAGTTATGTCTGCACACCTGATGTTTTATTAACCAGTATTGATTTTTTTACCCAGGGGACTTTTTTCTTCCTGAAAAAAGGCAACCTTGCAGGAGTGAAAGGCATTGCAGGGAATGAATTTCTAATGAACCCCTCTTTCCCTTTCTTGCCTCCTTTTAATGTAGCTTCATATTTTAAGTGCCTGAACAGAAATTTCATTTTAAGCAATTCCATTTTGAGAAATCCTTTTAAACCTTGACTTTCTGTAAGGTTATTTTTTAAAGATTGTGCTGCCTGACTGACACGCTTAGCAGTGCCTGTAAATTTGAGCATTTCATTATAGGTTGCAATGAAGCATGCTCACATGCAGTGAAATACAGAGAATTGAGTAGCCTAGACTATTTCAGTAATGCTGAAAGTGGGAGGGTGGGGGAAGGGGCAAATAAAAGAAAACTCTGTCATAAATTAAGTAGTACTGAAATTCTATCTTTTCTGTTAAGGTGCAGTTCATGGGGTTCAATTAACAGCAGATCTCTCAGAATCAATTTCCTTCTTGTTTGTATCAAAATAAGTTTGTGATAGTATGGATTTATGTTGAGATTTCTTCATTTTGCCACTATTTTTTAGAATGAAACTCCTGAGATTTCCAAGGAAATGTATTTGTCTTGGGAGTATTCTGTTTAGGAATGTTACTATGTGAAGGAAAGCAAACCCAGGAGTTATCTGTGTGCTTAAATGCACTATCATAGACCTTCCACAATTCAGCTGTATTTTACCAGTGGCTTACAGTTGGCCTTTTTCTGTGTTTGAACACTTTGTTTTTATTTTAATAATGAAGGAGAATTAAAAATAACATTAGGATTAAAAAAAAAACATTAGGATTGAAACAAAGCCACAGAAAGGATCTAGGAACTACTTCAGATCTCTGTTGCTTCTTGCTCTCACGCTGCATTTTTAATTTGCTGCCACAGTCCATCAGCTGGTGTATACAGACTGCAGACGCGCCATTAGTTGTCAGTGGATGAGGGTCCTTATGACTCATTCTGACAGCTAACTTGCACTAACACAGTAATATGGGCTTAAAGCCCTGTTTTATTCTTTGGGTACAGTTAAAATAACCTTTCTCTATAGAAAGTGGTGGGCTTTTTTTCTTTTCCCCAGTGTTGCTAATCCTGGAGTTCATTTAGCATTGTAGTATTTCTTGTGGTGTGTTTATGTTTATGTAATCAATCTCTTTCTTTCACAGTTTTTGGCACTGGGAACACATTATGGCAAAGTTTATTTACTTGATGTCCAGGGGAACATCACACAGAAGTTTGATGTTGTAAGTATGATATTATTCAGAACCCATTTACAGGGGTATAAACCTGCTGCGATGTACCAGTTAACACTCTTGCTGCGATAAGTCAGTTAACACTCTTGTTACACCTGCAACTACACTAATGCATTCCATAACATAAAAAACAATGTATGGTCCTTGAAAAAGAAGTTATGCTGGATGGCTTTGTGGTGAGCACATCTCAGATTATATATAGTAAACTTCTTCATGAAGCAGAAGAGGAAATACATATTTATGATTGCAAGTAGCTATTAAAAATGGAACCTGGAAGCTCATTACTTCCATAAGGCATGAACCTGTTCATTAGGTGACTACTGTCAGTTATTAGTTTGTGCACTATCACCCTATCTGCTTGCCACAAGTAGTTGAAAACTGATTACCTTTCTGGCTCAGTTTATCAATTACAAATACATAATGCTAATATTTTATGTAAATGTTTTGAAATTTGAATTATTAAGGGTTGTACTGATTGAAGGAAATGAAGAAGCCTTTTTCCTTACTGTAGTTTGTGGTATCAGAGGAATAAAATGCTAAATTTAAAGCTCTGTTCTAGAGTATTAAATGTTCCTTTTTATTGTGGATATTAGTTCATTAGTTTCAAATTCCCTGTCTTTCTTGGGGAGTGGAAGGAAAAGAACTAGAAATTTTTTTTCTCCTCAGGTCATCAAAAATTCTAGTAGCCAAACACTGTTTTTTTCATAGCACTGTAAGCACTAGCCGTAGAAACCATCAGAAGATGTGGACATGTTTGCAAAGAGAATGTATGTTCTAAAGCTGACACAGCTGCATGGAAGGGGTGAAGCGTTTGTTTATATTTTTGAAAAATCTAATTATGAATTGTGCAAGGGACTAGGGCATAAACTTAAGTACAAACTTAAGGCACAGCTCTTGAAGGAATTTTTAGATTTAATTTTAGTCAGATTGACAATGACCTTACTGGGGATTTATTACAGTCAAACTAATTATGTGCTTCTATTTCTTTTAATTTTGTATGATCATCAGCCCTGCAGCTGAGAATGCTGACTGCATTTCAGAAGAGGAAAAGCTTTTGGTGTCTCCCTTGCAGTTCTGATTACTTTACATGCATGCTTCTTGATAGAGTTTCTCTGTGAAGTAGGAGAAATTCTCTATTTGAAGCAGGTCAGATTAAATGTACCTGAATTATTCTCTTCCATTGTTGCAGTGGAAGACTGCCATGGTTTGACACTGGCACAATGCTGGCACCCCCATGAAAATGCAGCCCCGCAAATGATTTGCCGTGAGATATGATCAGGAGCAGAGCAGAGCAGACCCAAGCTTAATAACAAGGGAGAAACTTTATTAAACTACTACTACTATAAAAGGAAAAAGAAAGAAAGAAAAAAAAACACACACACACTAAATCCAAAATGAAAACCTTTCAAAACATTCCTCCTCCCCCCACCAATTCCAACAAACCACAGTGAGACTCAGCTTGGACCCCCAATCAGGTTCCCACCCTTCAGAGGATCAATACTCAGTACATTGAGGGAGAGAGGAGTCCCTCCTGTGCCACAGATCCCCCAAGAATCACAGCTGCCACTTCCTGTGTTTTCATGTCACACATGGCACTGCCCAGAGAAAATCTGCCATGGTGACAACTCTCCTTTCCATGCACAGTACCCTCACTATTGTAGCATTTTTTTTTTCAAGCATGCTTTGCCAAGAGGGGAAAAAAACAACAGTTCAGTTTTCATTTTTGGGACCACAGTCCCCCACCATTTCCCTCTGGGGCCGAGGGTTCAAGAACAGAGATGATCTTCTCTTCTTCTCTGAAGACAGGGGGCATCACCACAACCCTCCTCAACTTTTCTCTGTTCACTCCACTCCTGTCTTTTTCTCAGCTGCTGAAGCAGGTCTCTTGGCTCACTGGCATACTCCTAAAATGCAGTCTCTCTCTCTTGGAGGAGAAATTGGTTCAGTCTATGGCTAACAAGAAAAAGTCCACCCAAAAGCCACTCCATCATCTTCCCCCCAATCTTCTTTTCCTAACATCTCAGGTCCCAGGCTGTCTCTCTTCTTTTTCAAACCGAGGAGAAGTAATATTTTACAAAGCCCTCATTTCCCAAGAAAGTAGGTTAAAAGTCCTGACTCCCTGGATGGCTCTTGGCCCAGGCTCCAGCTTCCACACTGGGCACTTTTTTCCCCTCCTTCCTCCTCTGCTGGAGTACTGCCAGCACCGTCACTGTCTCTTTCTCTCTCAAGAGAGACTCTGGGGGGAAATGCAAACATCCCAGATTTTTCTCCACCCTTCCATCCGCAGGGAGCCAGAGCTGGTTCAGGTCCACCCACCCTTCGGACTACCTCAGCTGCGCCTCCCCCACCCAGCCACGGGCTGGGCAGGGGAGAATCTGCACTCTCTGATGACTGGAACCAAAGAGAGCCAGTTCCCCTGGGACTTCTGCTTTTAACCCCTCTTTGTTCTCAGAGGCGTGTCCAGTTGGTCAGTTGGTCAGCCCAAGTGTCAGTGTCTAACCCCAACCACTGATTGGTTTGACCCCCTTCCTTCTGAGAAAATTTTTTCCATGTCAAACCATGACAGAGTCATAGGCTTACTCAAATGAAGTGGAGATTTTGTATTGAGTCTGGCATTAACTGTCCTAAACTGGTATTTGTTCCATTCAGTGTAAGGTGCTTGGAAAATTTTAGTTGTAGAACAATCTTCTTCTGTCCGCCACCAATGCCTTGTTCTCTCATACTGGTTCCAAGAGATTAAATCCTCCTTCTGTAAAGACTTAGGGAACTGCCTAGATGTAGAGAAAGGAGCAAGGGGACCTGTTACCTGCTAAAGTCTATATAGCAAAATCCCTGCATTCTCTTTATACCCACCCTTCCAAATTTGCTGTTATTTTCTTTGTTTTTCTTTACTAAAAAGTCCTACAGTGCCTGCTGGGAGGGTGGTTTCTTATGAAGTTAGTGTTGGACTATAAAGTCATTTTCTGCTCAAAGGTGTTTTCCAAATTTAGCCTGCTTCAGGATGATTTTTATGCTGTGTCTCTTGTAAAGATGGCAGTGATTTCTTTTGAAACTGTTGTTAGAGTACAAACTGCTTTTTGAGCTGGAGAATAGGAAAAATAAATGTTTCTTGGATTCTATTCTTAATGTTTATATCTCTTTTTGTAATGTACATGTCTCCAGTGCAATAGATTATATCATGGATTAGTTGGAAATGGTGCTTCTTTTTTCTTTTTTTTCCCCTCTTTTTTCTAGTTTGAAGAAGAATGATTTTTCCCTAGCACCACTTGTCTTAAAAAGAAAAGTTTTTCAAGGAACTACTGTTGTAGAACAGAGCAGGCTGCATATGTGAGAAGAAAGTAGCTGTATGATGTACATGGCTGCTTAAGCTGAGAAGACCCTTTAGACAGTTTATTCTGAACTGGCAGCTGTACACCAAAATATTTTCCTTCCAAACTGAACTTCTCAAGATGTTGGATTTCAGACTAGAGGCATCACTATCAAAACATTCAGTGGTGATCTTCCTTCAGTTCTCTCCTACTAATGCCTCTTTATTGTCTCTGCTGGGAAATTTGGATTAAAGTATTGACATGTTAGAAAAATCCCAAATAAAACCTAATCCTTTCTTGAAAAGAAAGGGAATTACTTCCTGTAGTCACATAGGGACAAAGCATTTCTTGTAAATGTGCTGGTGAAGACTGTTATCACTAGTGGTGTTTTTTCTTGTTCTTTTTCTCTGATCCAAAAAGAACAAATTCCTTCTCAGAACCTTTTTCATTGGTCAAATGGCATATACAGCTCTATCTTGAAGTTGTTAATAGGGGAAGTACCTGTTGTTAGTGATTATTGGAAATTAATATTGTATAGAATTTTTTCTGATTAAAATAGCAGTATTACCACTGAAATGTTTTAATTATTTGCAGTAAACAGTGTACCTGGGGAGAGTCTTTAATGTATTTTTTTCTTTTTGAAAGGATCTTTTCAGCAGATGTTTTCTGTCTTGTGACATTGCAGAAATTGGTAGTAAGGATAGCAATATGATGCCCTTTGTGCGAAAGAAAACAGTTACATAATTCAAGGAATTGTACTTCATTTGAGTCTTTATCTCTGTTTTTCAGGGGGTTGTTTTAGTTTCTGGGTTTTTTTTTTAAAAGCTGGGACATGAAAAAATTAATTATTTTTCTATACATCTGTTAAGATGTGTAATTAGCAAAAACAAACCATACACGGAAAACTTTAAAAGCTACTAGATTCAAATAGTGTGTAAAATAAACCAGAATTATGGAAGAGGTTTTTTTTTAACCATTTTTCAAAAATTCATTTTAATGACAAGTTCATATTAAATATACTTAGAAAATACCATTACTGTTCTCATAGTCCTCTTGATTTCTGTTTTTCTTTCCTAATTTCAGGAAGCCATGTTAAAAAATTACAAGTGGGCTTGGGAATTGAAGAAATAAGAATTTTGCTTTTGTAATAAATCCTTTATTTTCCGTAATGACTTGCATCTGCATTTGAGCCAAATTGTAAAAAAAAATGAAAAGGTACAGATATCAGAGGACTTGCAGCAAAATGAGGGAGAAAATTCACCAGTGTGTTGCATTATCTCCAAAATGGCCAAGTTTTGAATGGCAGCACTCCTTTTGAAGGCTGAATGCATTTATCATTTTAATTTGAGCTAAAAACAGCTGTAAGAAACACTAAAATATAAAGCTTGGCATCCCTAGAAGTTCTGTTATTGTAACACACTTTTTTGTTTATTGTTTAAAAAACCTTTTCGGACTGCACTTCTTGATATCCATAGCAGCAAATCAGTGTGGTTATCCTGAATTACAAATACTGTAGTGTCTACTCCACTTTGAGCCATAAATATTCAGAGCGGCTTCTATGAAACTCATGTAAAAAACGAAAAATTATTTTCAGAATAGTCTTTCTCTTCATGTATCCAGCTCTTCATGTATCTAATGCTGAATCCTATGCCAAGTGGACAACTAGTCTTTTCAGACTTGCAA